ATACCCCTGTCGAGCCGTAGGCAAAGTCCTGACCCGAGCCTGGCAGAACAACCTCAAGACGACCGAGTACCACAAGGAGTAACCTCGGAAATACACCACGAAGTACCTGAAATCCAAACCAGTTGCTGCTACCAGGAAAAACCACCGGAATTCAGTCTCCTGTCAGAAAATCCGAACCTGACTAAGCCAACAATGACAAACCTGTAGCAGCAAACCGTGTCCCCTCCCACCATTGTTTGCATGCCCGTCGCAAATCACACACAGACGCTTTTTCACGCAAGCTCTATGAAGACGTCAAGGACTGGATTGAACAATATGACAGTGTCGCCCGCCACATTGGGTGGACAGACAACCAGCTCCTGCAGAACCTATACTTCTCATGGAAGCAACTGCCGGCGCTGGTCTGAGAACTATGGATCCTCCTTAAAGTCATGGGAAGTTTGCAAGATCAAGCTCAAGCGCGCATCCGTCAGCCAACATCAACGAAAGAGAGCCGCATTCTTGATTCTGGCCAGGACACTGCCCCAATGAGAGCGCCACCGAGCTCGTGGAGGATGTTTTGCGCTTGATCGAGCGCCCACGCCCACGCCGACCTTGATGCTACAGAAGACAAGAACCTAAGAATCCCATGCGCCTCACGTGAGGGACAACACCTTCGGCAGCCTTGTCCGCAACCCCCCACCAACAGTCGGAGTGTTCATATCACTGAGGCTTCCAACATGGAATGTGCACTGCATGCCCGAGCCTGCCACTATGAACAACTTCCCGGCGTCTCGACACTCGAGTTGTCCAGCTACTACTTCGAAGCCAGCCTCCCAGGCATCCACGACATCACCCACGACGTTGTCTGGGAGGAGATCAGGAAGCTACTTCCTGCCATCAGTTGCCCGGCTTTTATTTTGATTGCCGAGATTGTTTCGGAACAAGTTTGACAGGTATTTCAACCGAGACTTCTGCGAGCGAAGCGGCATCTGACAAACCAAGGGCAACTTACGCCACAATGGCACGACGACCGCCACCGGCTGCCCCTTAGTATTCAATGCCAATTCAATGAGACACTCCAACGCCGAAGCATTCCCGACATTGTGTGTAGGACTGTGCTCAACAAAGTACACCGAGGAAAACGTAGGTGATGCGAATGTGCGACCGAAAACCACTTTGCTACCACTGCATGAAGCCGACCATATCTACCAAAGCAGCCCGTACCAATGGATTGGTCTGCGAGGGTTCGTGCCGAACGACCCTCAATCACGTCTCGAGGAGCGACCACGGGAGATTAAGGATTACCTTCGGTGACCTTTGTCCCTGATGCCGAAGGTGCTGAATCGAAGATGCTGAATGCCTGATTACCCCGAAGCTCCTGATATCCATGACCTCAATGAGATGTAAGCACGACAAAGAAGGTGAGCGGCAATGCAGTGAAAGTGGATTTTTGGTGTCCGTTGTCGTCCAAGGACAATACCTAAAAATTTGCTGACACCAATTATCTGTGTCCACTCCACGAAGCACACAATTTCCAACTTTGAGGGAGAATGCTTCTGAGTGACTTGAAGGAATAGAATGGTTGGTTGCTCTCAAAAGTGAACTGCAAGCATCACCAGACTTGGATAGCAAACAAACATTGTTGCCAGCTATCAAGTCAACGGTACAGCAAAAGGCACAGCCACGTAAGCAATAAATGCCCGAGCTTGCTACATTGATGCCGAAAACTACCAGGAAAATTTTCGGATTAGAAGCAAGCCCTGCAGCTTCAGTGCACATGACGTATGATTACAAGACAGCATCAGTCGGTCAAAGTTGCCACTCGACCAAACTGAACACCGATGTGCCAGGAGCGTCATCCGACAACAAGGTCCACAGGTACTACGACTGAACGCCTGACACGAGACTGTCGCAGAAAGAACTCGTTATGGAACTATTTACTAAAAATCAATAATTATGTAATCAAGTGGAAATAAACATATTTGATACACTAACCAGATAAACATATTTCTGCTTGCCTTCATGCCTTGAGAGTCTACACACCGAGAATTGTGTCCATTGCACGCTCTGGACCTTACGAGGACACTCGCTTCTCTGACCCTTCAATATTAATTAAAAGGTCATACCAGACTGGCAGACTTCTTGCAAGGGGCTGCACTCGTTCAACCTTTCCTGAACATGTGGTGCATCCGAAAACCAACTCCAGTGATGTGAAAATGTTATTAATTTATTCCTTCCAGGGGCCTTCGTAGGCATTGCAGAGAGGATACTTAAAGCTACACACATGATAATAGCATTAAAGCACACTGCTGTAACTTGTTAATTGGAAAAACAAACACACCTCTGAGCATATAGTTTAATAGTATGTGTTTATGCATTGTTATATAGCATGACACTTCCTATATGTATGACACAATAGACCCTTTGCAGAACCTTATCAAGCAACACAACCGTCACCACTTTTTTTCGGCGCTAAGCACACGAATGGGCCCCAGTTCACGTCGAACGCCAATGCAGCATTCGAGTCCAATAGGTGCTGAGCCGAATTCACAGGGATGGCGGACATAACATTCTTGTCGAACAAATACCCAAAGTATGAAAGCCTGTGGTAATTACAGTAGTAGCTACTGTAATTTGTTTCATCAGAATTTGGCAGACGGCAAAGGCTACGGTCTCGGTGAGTCAATACACACATTGGAGAGAGGCACATGACAGCAGATCACCAGAGTGCTCGTCTGCACAGATTTGTCACACACCTTCGCTCCGTCTCTCTGATTGGCTCGAGGGGGCTGTGGCGGTTGGCCTTTTCCAAGTTACGGTGATGCGAAGTATAGACAGCCCACACTTTTAAAAAGAGTCTATTGAAGAGACCGAAAGGAATGGTAGTCAACATTTTTCAACAAACTGCTCTCCAGGCAAGGGATGAACACAAATATGAATCATCTTATCCAGGTAATTAGAACAATTAAATAATTGACCGACTAATACAACGCACTCTTGATGGAAAAGAGTATAGCTGCAATAAATCCTACAAAACAGAAAAAATGCGCAGTTAACCTATGCATGCACCAAAACAGTTGTTCTTATAGCAAGTCGAATAGCTGTGAAGCAGGTGCCTGCAACGATTTATTCTTCCCCATACTCAATAAAACGCCAACCACGTAGCTGAAAATAAGGGTGCACTTCGCACTCACACACACACACAAAAAAAAGGAAGGAAAGCGATCGAATGTAGAATCGTGGATTAGCACAAAAGGTTAAAATCGCAGGAGCTTCCTCGCTAAAAGTTGCTATGGTTGTTAGGTGACGGAGGGCTGAAACAACTTCCCTTAGGCCCTAACGCGACTTATACATTTGGCGTAGATTCTCATATATTTCAACGTTCAAACAAAGCTAAGAAAATGCGAAAATTTTATGTTAAAAGCACTCAAAGTTCTATCGATCCTCGGACACATCCTGGAATCCAAGCACCGGTACGGCGATGCAGAGCTGATGCTGACTCACAGGCGTTAATATCCAGATGATCCAGAGCGATCTTGCGCAAAAACGGTATAAAGTCTCATTCCTTCATATTTTCACATTATACCTGCGTCAGCGAGCACGAAGAAGCCCGAAGTCGTCGGAAAGCAGCTGCACATCACGACTACCGCGCACCGAACAAACTCGCATCCGCCAGCTCTGGGCGCTGCCATCTTACCTGTGACGTCACGGCTCTTGGGAGGTCACGTGACGAGTGGTCACATTTGCGTAAAATATGGCGGCAACCGGGGGGGTGCCACTTTCGAACTTCCGGTTTATCACTCTAAGCCCCTCTACCTCGTTGGTTTTCATGTCCCGGCCACCGGCGAGTCTGGTCGACGTTTCAGTGGCGACGAGGGTAAACCGATATGGCGGCACGCCCGCCGCAGTTCGACGAGACGGCAGGCACCTGGGGCACATACCGGGTCCGGTTGGAGGCGTACTTCGAGGGTCACGGTATCACGGACGCGGCGAAACGTCGCGCGTTGCTGGTGTCTTCCCTAAGTGACAACGTGGTCCGAATTCTGCAAGGCCGCTGTCAATCGGCGTCCATCAACAGCCTGTCCTACGCAGACGTGGTTGGCTACCTAGAAGAACACTACGACCCGCAAGCCAACGAGATTGCAGCTAGCTACTCGTTCTTCGTGCGGAAACAGGAAGAGGGGGAGAAAGTACAAGACTTTGTGGCAGAGTTGCGGCGGCTCGCGAAGCATTGCAAGTTCGGCGACACCCTGGACCGGATGCTACGAGACCGAATCGTCTGCGGCATACGGGATGACGAAGCGCGACGGGTTTTGCTGACGCGTAAAAAGTTGAGCCGGGAAGAGGCGGAGGAATTCGTAATCGCGTCTGAGGTGGCCGATAACAACGTCAGGGCAATGGGAACGGCCCCCCAGGACTCAGCCGGCGGTACGCATTTCGTCCAAGGTCGGCGGGGTAACCGGAGGCCCCCAAGACAAGAAACCAGCGGTGCGAATCGACGCGCCTGGTGCTGGAGGTGCGACGCGAACCACTCCGAGGACGACTGCCGGCACCGCAAGACCGTATGCCACAGGGGCGGCACCAAGGGACATCTGGCGAGGGTGTGCAAGTACAGTCGGCACAGCCAGCCAGGTGCGTACGCGCTGGCGGACATCAACACCGAGGAAGAGAGTGGCGAGGAAATACTTCACGCCCTGGTGGCTCACCGTAGAGCCAACAAAGACACGACGCCGCCGATAGAGGGGGATTTGCTATGGGAAGGCAGGAAGCTGCGTATGATTCTGGATACGGGCTCCCCAGTCAGCGTAATTCCCGAGAGCGCTTTCAAAAGACACCGTAAACGGTGGCCGGCCCTGGAAACGACCCCCCTACGCTTGTCGTGCTTCCTGGGGCCGCTGCCCGTTGTCGGCAAGATCACCATGAGTGTACAGTACGGACAGACGCAGGTGCGCAGATCGTTGATTGTGGTGAACTGCCCAAAGCCGCTGCTTTGCGGTAGGAATACGCTGTGGGCGTTTTACGACGCAGGGGCACCGCTTCTAGAAACTGGGGCACCGCTTGGGGTGAACATGGTGCAGGCCGGCGCAGAGGGGCAGGACCTACTGGAAGAATTTGCAGACGTTTTCGAAGAGAAGCTGGGGTGCTGCCAGGGCCCACCAGTAAAGCTGTACAGGAAGGAAGATGCGCGACCCCGTTTTTGTAAGGCGAGGCCGGTGCCCTACGCGCTTCGCGACAAGGTGTCGGCGGAAATCAACCGCCTGGAGAAGGACGGCGTGCTCTCGCCGGTCAGCGTGTCGGAATGGGCTACACCTGTTGTTCCGGTGGCAAAGAAAAACGGCGAGATACGACTGTGCGGGGATTTTAAGTTGACGGTAAATCCAGCTACACACCTGGAGCGATACCCCTTGCCTAAAATTGACGACATTTTTGCGGCGTTATATGGGGGGGAACTCTTCACCACGCTGGACTTACGCAACGCGTACAATCAGCTTCCTCTTGACGAAGAGGCTCGAAAGATGACTGTGCTGAACACGCACCAAGGCTTGTACTGTTACAATCGTCTGGCCTTCGGCATTGCGTCCGCACCGGCTCTGTTTCAACGGCGCATCGAGTCCCTCCTGCAAGGGCTCCCAAGGGTGCAAGTCTACTTGGATGACATCGTCATCGCAGAAAAGAAACACGACACGTCGACACTCCGGCAGGTGCTGCAGCGGCTACGGGAAAACGGCCTGAAGTTAAACCGAGCCAAGTGCCGTATCCGGGAGAAGCAAGTGTCCTTTTTGGGCCACAGAATCGATGCCCAAGGTCTTCATCCGGAGCGGACCAACCTCGAGGCAGTGACCGAAGCTCCAAGACCGACCTCGGTAAGCCAGCTCAAGTCTTTTCTTGGGTTTGTCACCTATTACGCCAAATTTTTGCCCAACTTGTCAACCACCTTGGCCCCTTTGTATAGATTATTGGCAAAAGGAGCGCAATGGCAGTGGGACGGGGATCAGGAAAGGGCTTTCCGGAAGACTAAGCAGGCTATGGCCGAAGCTAAGTTCCTGGTTCACTACAACCCCCGGCAACAGTTACGGCTAGAATGCGACGCGTCGCCAGACGGCTTGGGTGCAGTGTTGTCACATCGCATGCATGGGAAAGACTACCCCATAGCGTTCCGGTCGAGAATGCTGACGAAGGCAGAGCGTAATTATTCACAGCTCGAGAAGGAGGCGTTGGCGCTGGTTTTTGGAGTTACCAAGTTTCGAGATTAGCTGTTCGGCAACCGCTTTACGCTCGTCACAGACCACAAGCCGCTGACAGCGCTGTTCCACCCTGAAAGAGCAATTCCACAAATGGCGGCGGCTAGAGTACAGCGTTGGGCGTTACTACTCGCAGCCTACCAGTACGATCTCGAGTACCGAAAAGGAAACCACAATGGGAATGCAGACGCTCTTAGTCGTCTCCCGTTGCCGGCGCAGGAGGAGGGCAGCAGTGAAGTGCTCACTGAATATGTGCTGTACACGCGGGGGTGGGACGACCAACCTATGTCCGCCCAGCAGATGGCCACCCTGACTACGCGGGACAGCCTGCTTCGCCAAGTAAAAGCCTGGATTTACGCCGGATGGCCGTCGCACCTGCGCCCGGAGCAGCACCAGTTCCTACCGTACTTCAGCCGCAGGTATGAACTCACAGTGAGCCACGACCTGGTTTACTGGGGGCATCGCGTAGTTCTACCGGAAGCTGCGCGAGCGTTCATGCTGACGGAACTGCATGATACCCACCCGGGAATGACTGCGATGAAGCGTCTGGCTCGCTCCCTCTATTGGTATCCTGGTCTAGACAAAGATATCGAAAAGCTGGTAAATAACTGCTCGACATGTATACAGTGTTGGACGATGCCCGCGGCACAGGTTCCTTCCAAGTGGCCGGAGACCCACCAACGGTGGTCCCGTTCGCACTTGGATTTCGCGGGGCCACTGGAAGGGTACATGGTTCTAGTACTGGTGGACTCGGAAACAAAGTGGATTGAAGCCATACCACTCAAAACAGCTTCGGCCGAGACTACAATTGGAGTGCTCCGAGAACTGTTTGCGCGTTTCGGAATGCCACGAACAGTGGTTTCCGATAATGGGCCGCAATTTTCAAGTGCAGCGATGGCACGATTTTTACAAGGGAACCATATACGTCATTTCACCACTGCGCCCTACCACCCTCAGTCGAACGGGTTAGCCGAACGGGCAGTACGCACGATCAAGGAGGGGCTAAAGAAGAACAGGGAAGGCTCGTTGCAAGATCGTATTTCCAGGTTCTTGTGTCGTTACAGATCTACCCCTATGAAAGAGGGCAAGTCGCCAGCCGAGTTGTTGTTAGGCTTCAGGCCCAGGACAAGGCTAACCGGCTTCTTCTCGAGGGGCGAGGAAGCGCAGCACAGCGTGGTCGAGCCGCAAGCCCCGGCCACGACACCACCGCCATTTTCGCCAGGAATGCCGGTCTGGTCACGCCAGTTCCAGCCGAGGCGGAGATGGCTACCGGGGACTGTGGTCTCCAGTGAGGGTCGGCGCATGGTCACGCTACGCACACCGGACGGCCAACAGAGACGGCACCTGGACCAGCTGCGACCTCGAGACGCTTCAGGGTCCCCGGAAGGCGCTGACAAGGCACGTCGAGTCGCCGGCCGGTCGGAGGTGGGAGCAAGGCCGCCCAGCACCGACGAAAGAGAGGTCGCCACCAACGGCGATCCCGAGGTGACGCCCACAGCAGACCCGGTTCCTCTCAGGCGCTCTACGCGCCTGCGGAAGCCGCCGGACCGTTTGAACTTATAGGGGGGAGGGGATGCTGTATCGCCGTACGGCTGCGTCACCGCAACCACGAGCGCCGCGTTCCAGCGCATGCCCGTGCCGGACATACGTCACCGGCGCGGGAGGTAAAAAGAGAGCGCTTGCCAATAAACTACGTTTTCATGTCCCGGCCACCGGCGAGTCTGGTCGACGTTTCACCCAGTAGGCAACGCGCGTGGTGACGGATTTATGGATGTAGTCTAGTTGCAATGGCAACACACATTGCACGTAGAGGGCACAAGGCGATTTTGCGCCATTTATTATTTCCATGTTTCTTCTAATTTTTCTCAACATTAATTTTTCATGCGTCACATCTGATTTGTCTATGAACAGTTCGGTTTTCAAAATATTCCTTTGGACGTGCAAAAAGCACTCAACTTGGAGTAGGCTTTAAGCTATTTTTGTTACTCTAAAAAAATATATGTTTGATTCTTTATTGGGGCAACTTATGGCACTTCTGGTTCTTAGTCCGAAAAAAAGATGGGACACTAGCGCTCTCTGGATCTGTTCGAAACATTGAACGTGACCCGGGCCTATTGGTGAGATGTGTTCATTGGTTACATATTCTTGAGTTTACTTCCCTTTGCACTCGGGTTACAGCCGCGTTCTATCTTCAAATGTGTACTGGTATTTTAAAGAGAAGTTGCGAACGGGAAAATATGTCAATGCCGCAAGCAGAGAACGGGCCTAACACGAAGGCATGATCGTACGTAGAACTCTTTTCACGAGAGTGGGGGGGGGGGTGTAAAATTATAATTTGTGAGGGTTAGTGGAGAGCGGTGGGTACGCAATTTTCTTTTTAGACTGGAGCAGCCACGATTGGACAAACAGGCACAACTACGTTTTAGCTGGATCGAAGTCCTTTGGTCCTTTGTTCAGGTTCCGCCGTGCTTGTTACAAGTACCACCAAACCTGTCGTTTGCATTTAATAAACCTAGTCATGCCGTCACGAGTAGGGACCATAAAGCGGTAGTAGCACTGGCGCTACATCAAACGAAGAGCACAGTATACGCTGCAGACACATTAGAGAGTTTTAGGGAACCGTTTTTGCACATCCAATACGGTACGATGGGCCCTCAGGTACAAACTGCGCATGCGCGTGCCTTCTGCGATCTTACCGTAATGCGCTGGTGGAACCGTAAGGCACGACCGGCACGACCAATGGCCGACATGGACAGCCTCGCTTGGTTAGCAAAACGGCTATTTCGCTGGCGGAGAGAGCGTGCCCTGGCTCCAAACATGAATAAAATAAATCGGGGCAGTGCCTGGCAGGAGCGCCATGTGTGACAGCAAGTCCATAATGTTTGAGTCAGCAAAAAAGAAAAAGAATAAAGAACAAAACACAATAGGACTTTTTCAATAGAAATAAATTGGTGTTTAGCGCAGCCAAAAACGTCTGCTCGGTAGCTCTGTGAGAAGCGCGTGACGCCGTTCGAAACGGTCGCAAAAAAATGAGCTCCCGTGGAGCGTCTGCAGCGGCTTTCACCGGCCGTGGTTCATCTGCTGAAATGTCCCAGGATACCTACCGAGTGGTTCTTCCGTCACTGCCTACAGGTACTGAAGTTTTGAACTCTGTATTCGCTCATTGCGACATCACCGGACGCCCGTACAAGATTGACGATTTTCGAGGAGAAATGGAACGCCACGGCGTTCTAAACGACCTCATTGGAGCCGGCGCGTACCAGATGAACCATGTTTGGCTCTTCACCTTCAGCTCCCTGACAGCGAAGCGAAAAATTCTGGAAGCCAAGGAACTTGTGGTGAAAGAAAAAAGGTGCCTGCTCATCGATCCCGATGAGTGCGAGGTACGAATACGGCTGCACTGGATACCTATTCACATAAGCGACGACACAGTGCGGAGGGCCCTAGAGCCTTATGGAAAAATCAACGAAGTATCCCGCGACACATGGAGGGCGGAAGGCTTCCAGAATGTTCAGACGACGACAAGGCTGGTGAGAATGAACCTAAAGGAAGGCGTAACCAAGGAAAACCTCCCGCACCAGCTGCGTCTGTTCGGCAGCAACGTTCTCGTTCTTGTCCCCGGAAGAGCGTCTCTCTGCCTTCGATGTAAGAGAACAGGCCACATCCGCCGAGAATGTCGCGTACCCTCGCTGTGACAAGTGCCATCGTTTTGGTCATGAGCAAGAGGATTGCATCCGGACGTACGTCACTGTAATGCGACCGGCTCCCGAGGAAGACAACTCTGAATTCTTCATCGATGAATTTGAAGCTTCGAAAATCGAAGACGGCTCTGGGCACCCAACCACCACCCATACCAAAACACCTTCAGGGGCTGACAAACGAGACGCATCGCAAGACGAAGACACCACCGCAACGATTCTCGAAGCTGACATGACAGCTGCCTGCGTCGGAAACGGCACAGACATCGTCAAGGCCGCTCCAGGCTCCTCTAAAAGCCAGCGACAGAAGACAGTCGACGGGAACGACCTCTCCTTTGACAATGCCACTGAAGTTGACTCGGAAATGGGCGACAGCTCGGATCCCTCCAAGCGACCGCTAGATCCCGTCGAGGAGGAAGACCCCGACCTTGAAGGGCCTGACTGGAGCAAGCCACAAGGAAGAAAGAAACGCAAGCCCCGAGCTCCACCGGATGGCCAACGAGAGCAAACCTCGCAGTAGGTGGTTGTGTTCACATAGAGAACAGTTACCGACAGTTCTTTACTTTATTCGAATATTTACTCGTGCTTGTCGCCACAGCTATGAATTATGTAAGTTTTGCGTGAATTTGTTGTAAATCGCTCTTTATTACAAACCTCCTCCTCCGCCCCAATAATGTTTGCATCCAAATTTCCCACGTTTTCTACTAATTGCTTAACGTTGGGTACACTCAATATTAGAGGTTTAAATTCTACTCGTGAAAAGTATCAGCTATTACGTTTGCTTCACGAAGAGCAAGTAGACTTTTTAGCCATACAAGAAACAAAAATGTCGGAGGAAGAGCAAGTTACGAAGGCGCTACAATCCTTTCTTACTTCGTACGAAGTATGTGTAACGCATGCAGTTGGCACGGCAGGAGGCTGTTTTTTGTTCCTTAAGAAATCTGTCCCCCTCTCTGATGTAAGTCTCATCACCGATGCTCATGGACGTTTTATAATATGTGACTTTAATTTGTTTGATGCACAGTGGCGAATTATTTGTGTCTATGCCCCGTGTAAAGCCAGTGAGCGAACCTTGTTCTTCCACGATATGTCACACTACATCAAATCAAATCGGACCACTGTATTACTGGGTGACTATAATTGTGTATGCAATGCAGGTGATAGATTTCCAACAACGCGTAATAACGATGGTAGTGCAAATCGTCTGAGTGAAATAATAGCACAAAACAATATGGAAGATGTTTTCCACATATCGAGGGGAACTAAAAAAATTCAATTTACGCACTTTCAAGAATCTTCGCACGCACGCCTTGATCGTGTTTATGTTTCTGCTGACATTGTACATAACATTAGCTCTTATTGTGTAAAACCAGTGTTTTTTAGTGACCACTGCCTCGTAAAGGTCGCAATTGGAGAAAACAAAATTCCCAAGGCAGTTTAATTGGCGGTTGTGGAAGCTGAACACCAGTCTGCTTAAAGACAAAACATTTCTAGCTACAGTAGATGACCTGTTAAGGAAAATAACAGAGCAGAATGAGACATGTCCATTGGAACGATGGCAGCGGTTCAAAGAGCAAGTAAAAATGTCAGCAATCGAGAGATCAAGCACGCTGAAGTTCTACGCTCGGGCAGAAGAACGAAAACTGCAGAAGGATTTACGCACCTTGTGCGAAGCTGAATGTGAATGCCCTGGTTGGGGAACAAAGGATATCGCGAATGTCAAATCACGTCTCGAGAAATTCCAGAAAGAGCGATACGAGGGCGCTGTGATACGCTCGAGGACACACCGGTTTCTCTGTGGTGAGCAACCCACTAAACAGGCCTTGATAGCAGAAAGAAGGTATGCTTTGTCTAAAGAAATCCTCGAAATAGAGAGAAATGGTGCTATAGCTACAGACAGAGCAAGCATTGAGGATGCCTTTGTGGACCATTATCGACGACTTTTCGAGCTCACACCAGAACGACAAGAAGACAAAATTGACGAACTGCTGTCTTTTATGCCGAGAATAGATGACGAGACAAGGGAATGGCTGGAGGGACCCATAAGCCTGGAGGAAGTCGAAAAGGCAATAGGCGATCTGCACGGTGGTAAAACTCCAGGCCCAGACGGGATTTGTTCAAGCTTTTACAAGAAATTCAGAAAAGCACTCGCTGCCATTCTTCTCGCTGTCATAGAGGAATCTTATAAAAGAAAATCATTACCGCTATCTTTTTCTAGAACGCACACTGTGCTAGTTCCAAAATCAGAGGACGCCGACAAGCTACGACGTGTAGAAGGTTATCGACCAATAAGTCTATGTAATGTAGATTATAAGATATTAGCCAAAATACTCAATGGAAGGCTACAGCACGTAATTCGCGAATTGGTGGGTGACCACCAAACGTGTGGCATAAAGGGTAGGACGATCCAAACGAACGTTCACGTAGCCAGAAGCATTTTAGAATGTTGTACAGAAGAAGAAAATCAGATTGTCATGCTTCAGATTGATTTAGAAAAGGCATTTGACCGCGTACGCCATAAATTTCTTTGGGCCATTTTGCGGCACATCAACATTGGAGATGTTATTTATGAAGGCGTACGAATGGCATATAGCGGCTGTTCTACGCGACTAATTGTAAACCGTAGCGTAACTTGCAGCATGCCTGTAATGTCCTCAGTACGTCAGGGTTGCCCACTCTCGCCTTTATTATTTGCGCTTTATCTTGAGCCTCTCTGCTTGAGCGTTGCTAACAACGGAAACGTTCATGGATTTACGCTTAACTCCATAGAAGTCAAGGTATGGGCTTATGCTGATGATGTAGCAGTTTTTTGCAAAGACAAAAAAAGTGTAAGCAGCGTTATTGATTTAGTTAAACACTTTTGCGAAATTACCGGTGCGGCTGTAAATTTAGAAAAATGCGCAGGCTTTTGGCACGGTACATGGGCCACAAAGCCCCCAGAGTTTGAAGGGATCAAGTGGAGCTGAACACCTACGAAGTACCTTGGTGTACCACTCCAGCACATGCGTAAT